GGAAAGGAAAAAAATATAAAAAATGCGTATACCTTTTGAAAAAAGCACTACGCACTGAAAATAGTGCAATGTTTTCAATAGAGAACACCGTGCAGTATCGATGGGCAAAGATCCATTGAAGTCTGTGGGGGTGAGCTTGGGAGACTCCGTCGTGAATTGATTCTATTAAAATATTATTTTATCAATATAATGATGAATCTCGTTGTTAGTAATTACTTGTAATTATGAATATGACAAATGTTTATGTGTGCCAGTAACTACATAATGTGATGAAAATGAATAAAGTCTGATACATATTGGGAAATGATTATACTATTTTCAACAGGCTTCCTTTAGTCAGAGCACTTTGACAATAGCGATAATCATGTTTCTAATGAATTTTAAAGTGTTTGTATAGTTTGAACTACGTCAAGACACTAATTCATAGCGATTAATTGAAAGCCATTCCTAGCCATTCCGATCCATTCCTATCCATTCCGATCCATTCCGATCCATTCCGATCCATTCCTAGCCATTCGAATGGCTCGGAATGAGTTTTTTCCCCCTTGGAGGCACTACTCCAATTGCTATATTACAAAGATCCTATGGGTATCTCTAATCTATCATACCCGAGATTCTAAGCAGGCTATCCTTTGGAGGACAGTTGTTGCGAGTTATCTCAACTGAACTCAACTGTTGAAACAATTCATTTCAGCTTGAGCGAATGTTCGAATAGTTCTTTAGTTCGAAATAGTTTCCGAACTATTATAGTTCAACCATATACAACTTTGCGTTCTCATGTAAATAGCGAAGTTTGTATGATCAACTTGGATGAAAAATAAAAACTTTAGATTCTTCTATTCTATTAGCTTTCCCTGCATCTCATGATAACTGGCCTTTTCAGAATACCGCTTGTCACTACAGACATTTGTTCATTAATCAATAACTATACCTATAGCTGTAGAAAATGTTTACGCATGAAACTATATTGTTTTCGTTTATAAGAACTGTTTCCTAATAGTTTGATGCACTTTATTTTTTGGACTATGCAATCGTGAA